CTTCTCCATTCCCCCTTCTCCCTTCTGCTCCCCACCTGTGTGCCCTGACCTCTCCCTCGTGTATATCAGGAGCTCATCCAAACCTTTGCTGTGCAGACACCATTCACTGACCCAGCAACAAACCTTCTCCCGCATTTATTTCATATTTTTTTTTCTTCCATCCCAGCTTAATTTTTGCGCCAGGCTCAGTTCAACCATCTCATGGAGAAGGAGGTAGAGTTCCAGGTAGGTGGGACCGCACCTTTCCGAGCAGATTTATTGGGTTACTTGATGTGTGTCACAGCAGCAGGCAAATATCTCCCTGCTGCCTGTCCCCTGGGTCCCCTCCAGCCTGCCTGTCCTCAGAAATATAGGGCTGCCCCAGCAGGAGAGGAGAAATGAATTCCTTCCTTTGACTTCACCCCACCCCAGCTACAATACTTGAAATATTTATCTTTCATCCAGCGATAGCACAGTCCCTGCCCCTGCTGAAATGCCTTGAGCCAGGGACTCTAGAGGGGTGAGAGGGAAAAGGGGCAGAGAAGTCTGCTTTCTGCCTTGCTGGATAAAGGGAAATATGTGTGGGCAGAAAGACAGGCCAGCCTTACAGAAGATTTCAACAACTGAACAACCACCTGGGCGCTGTCACGGGGATTTATGTAATGGGAGGATCAAAGTACGGCCTGATAAGAGGGTGCCATCCATCCAAAATTTTCCATTCTTGAATATTAAGTTTCTGGAAATCAAGGCAAGCTGGGTGTCCGCAGAGAAAGGCGGACCCTAAAACACAGAGCACCTCTACCTGCTGGCAAGGGTCAGCCTGGCCCCATTGGAAATATCAGTGTTAATGTCAAGCCAGGCACTGCACGCATGAATTTGGGTGTTTTTTTTCCCATAACACATGACAAGAGAGCTCAGGATCAGACCCAGGCAGGTATTCTGCTGTATTTCAGCTCCAGGAATGATTTTTTTTTTTACTGCTGGGACTGTGCTGCGGAAGGTGCAGCACAAAGATCACCTTGATGACAGCGGTTCCTGCAAGGCCAGCTGAAGCTTAGGGTGTTATGGGGTGAGCGATCCACATGATGTTATAACATCCACGTGGACGCAGTGGGAGACAGAGGAATGTGTCGGGGCAAAGTACCTCATCTTTAATGCACGCTGATCCCGTTGAGGTCTTCGTTTCAGCCAGGGGCAAAGGGGGTGGGAGGAACGAGAGTCCAAAAGGACAGAGAGCGGGGCAGGCTGGTGGGCACACAAATACGTGCTGGGCTTCATCGCCCTCTTGCAGCGGTGCGGGATGAGGATGAGGATGACACAGAGCACTTTCTGGGAAGAATCTGGATCTGCTCTTCCCTCCACCTCTTTGTGAGGCACGGGGGAGAAGGATTTCACTCCTCTGTCTTTCAGTGTCACTAGAGGGGCTTTGCCACCTCACTCCATGCTGTTGGAGTGTGTGGTCGTTCAGTGTGGTCAATTCCACTCACTGGTCAGTTTGCCCTAAAAATCTATTAAAATAAAATAAAAATCCTGACTTTAGCCTGTTTTCAAGCAGAAAACCCTTTGCTTTCTATTCCCTCCTCATGGGCCAGTGGGGAGGATCCTGACTTTTATTTTTGGCCAGGATACGAGTTAGAAGATTTTATTTTATTTTTTTGCTTTTAGCCTGACTCCTGAGAAACTGAAGCACGGTGAGTGTCTGTGCCCCAAATAACTGCAAAGCAGGGACTGATTTCAGCTGCCTTTCCTCGGGGGGCTGAGCAGCACATTCCCAAGCACATCCCCACGGAGGGAAAGCCTCCAGCCTGCACCTTGCACCCAGGCAGAGTCCCGCATCGGTGCACCCAGAAAAGGAGCTGATGGATGCAGAGCTATGGGATGGCTCGTGCTGTCGGGGCAGTGATCTCAGCATCATTTTTCCCAGGGATGTGGGAGCACAAGGATTGCTCGGCCGTGGTCAGGGCAGCAGCTGTCCCTGCCGGGGCTGTCTGGAGCAGGGTACCTCCGGCTGGGACTGCAGACGCACCGCCCTCGCCGGGATAATCCTGCTGATCCCAAAGCACCGCTTCGGGGCTATTTCGAGGAGGTCAGGAACCAAACAACAACTGCCTGGACCTAAAAGGCGCACCTCGGGTTTCATTTCCTCCAGCCTTGACCCTCTGTGCACGCACTTGCCCTGTTGCTTTCCAAGCAGCAATCTCGTGCACCAAGCCCAGCCTGCTCAGGTCGGACTCGCCGCTGGGCAGCTGAACAGTTTTGGCTTGCACGGGATGAAATCACAGCCCCAATGCACAGGCTTGTTTGCTTTCTATTTTGCGGTCAAGTCTTGTATAATCCAGGGATATCTGCTAATCCTAAAGTACAATAACAAAATTTGTATCTTTCATAAATACGCAGGGCAGGGATGGGCACGCTCCCAAGCATGTGTGGAGAAAAGAACATTTCAGACATTGTTTCCTTACACTCGGAGGCTGCCTTTATTTAATGAAGTTAGACAGCTCGTTGGGATTTGCAGGATCTCTATATAGGATTATTTTATTATTATTATTCTTTTGATTATTGGCCGCTTTCTGAGGCAGAATGAGATTATCTTTCCCTTCCAGCTATGAACTATTCCACTGCAAATCCTTCCCTTTTCCAGATCCATTGTGAGGTGGTTCTGGTCAGAGGAACAACGAGGAATAAATCAAACATCGACCAGCACCTCCTTAATCCAGCAGCTTTGCCCCTGAGCACTGGGGTCTCGGCTGCTTGGTGACAGGAGTGTCACCAGTGCAAACCAGAAGAGCTTTTTTTTCATTTTCATTCACTCCTGCCGCAGACGAATGCCACACAGCTTCCTCGGGAATTGGGGCTGGGACCCTCCTAAAAATGACCTGGCTGAGTTTGTCCCCGTTTTGGGTGATGCCTGCAAGAAAGGGTTCCCCATCCCTCTCTGACACCCCTGAATTTCCAGGGGAGTGCTCCAGCTTCTCCGCAAATCCAGAGGGAAGCTTCAGCTTTGCCCAGATGGAGGAGCTGGGGAACCACAGGGATCAGACTGGGCTGGAGCCCGTCCTGCTGGCCAAGCGCAGCCCCCCAAAGGCTCAGCACCCCCCTGCACCCACTATCTCCGGTCATACAGATCTCTGCAGCTGGCTCACAGTTACCCATATCCTAAAACTGAGTTATTCCAACCCAAATCCTGCAGCAGGAGCTGGGTGGTGGCTTTATTATTATTATTTTTAATTATTCTGCAGAACATCTCCGCCAATGATAACCCGGCTTAGAGTGGCACAGGTCGAAACCAAGTGAAAACCGAACAGATCAGCACAGCAAACCATGGGGGTGCGGGCTGGGAGGTGGGAGGGGGGGAGGCTTTCCTGCAAGCAGCTCTGGCAGCATTTTTCTGATAAAAACACGGTGCCCACACCTTAACTCCTCTGATGTTGGACCCACTTTTAAAGCTCCTTTTGCACACCTCATCCTTTCAAGCCCGTATCTGCAGGGCTGTCTGGCTTCAGGTTAATCTGTCTTCCCCATCCGTTTGACAAAATAGAAGAATTAACCCAAATTTCCCTTCTCAGCATGCCAGATTTGAGGCGCAAAGCACTCCATTGATAAACTAATCCCCGTTGCTGTTTAAGCAGGTGTCGATTGGGAATATTCTCAGGGAAAGGCAGGGAGACTTCCCCAGATTTCCAGGGGACCTGGAGGAGAGCAGAGCTTCACCCAGTCCTCTCCCCACATCCAAGGCAGCCATCTGAAGCCCTTGGCTGCCCCAAACCTCTCAGCTGCCCCACTAAACCCCAGGACTGCTATGGGTTTGGTGTGGCCACAGGCTCACGGGGAACCACGACTGGTGCACAGTCAGTGATTCTCCCCAAAAAGGAGATCACAGAGCTAAAGGTGGGTGAGAGGGACACATCTAACCCCGAGAGAACCCACTCCCACAGCATTTTAAATTGTGCTGATTCCTCTCCCATGCCTTAGAGTTAACACAGGGACATGCAACCTGCACCGTGCCGGGCAGGGATTCAGCTGCCAGCCTCCTGCCCCGTGATGTACCGGCACGGACGATGAAAGAAACCATTCCCCATCCCTGCTCCAGCGCTCCTGTCGCAAACAGTGCTTTTATTGTCATCCTCGCCTGCTGACAAAAGGAGCAGCGGGAGTGACAACTTCAGATTTAGGAGCTATGGTGACCCATTTGGGGTCACCAACGCGGGGACGCAACGCGACCGAGCAGCGAGCAGCCCAGCAGTTGGGGCCAAGGCTCTCCTGCCTTGGGTCCTCCAACCTCGGGCAGCTGAGCTGTGCCCTGAAGCTCTGCGTGGCTTCTGCCTCTGTCTGGGGGAATCCTCCTGACTCAAGCAGGACTTTGTTTGGCTCTGCCACGGGAGCAAAGACCTGGTACCGCTTTTAGCCCAGCCCAAAGCATCTACGGAGCCTCTCTCTAAATTAAGTCCTTGCATCCCTCTCCTTCTGCAGCTACCCTCACTGATTTTTCACTTGTTGCTTGTACAAGAGATGCGTTAGGTGGCTTTTCTTGGTGGCAGCACATAAAACACGCAGACCTGCCAGGCGAACATCAAGCATTTATGCAGCCCTTCTTCCACTGAGACGTCACTGTGCTGAAACACGCACTCGATGCCATAGAGTGTTTTTAAAGTTAAAAATCAAGTTAGTTTGGGGAAGGAATTTAAAAAAAGAAGCCCTAGCCACCCTGCAAGTTGTTCCCTGCCTCGGAAGTGGTTGTGTGTTGGGATGACTTGGGTCTGGCTGCCTTGCTCTGCCTAAGTGGGTGCTGGAAGGGATGCAGGATATCTCGGTAGCCCCTGGATTTCCAGGGCAACTTTTCAAACATTTGAGCAACTTTTTTTTGAGTGTCAGCGGCAGGTTTGCAAAGCAAAGGGAGTGTCAGAAACGTGCACTTCAGCCTGGGCCGAATTAAAACTAATTTAGGTTTCTGGTGGAGCGGTTCCTGATGGATGCCCAGGTCCGACATCCCCCCAAACCTGGGGCATGGGGGGCACTCAGAAGAAAAGGCAAAGCACAGAGCCTGGGAAAAGGTCTGAAAAGGTCTGTTCTGATGGGGTGTGAAAAGTAAAGCACACACTGAAGACACGAGACAGTTGAGACGTGGTTCTCTGGTCCTCTGCACCTTCTGGAGGTACTGGGATGTACTGGGAGAGGGAGCAAAGTGGGAATGGGACTGGTGGTGGGCTGTGAAAGCTTGCCTGTCTTTTCTGGATCTTGAATTTTGCCCAGCTCCAACCTGGCTGTTTCTCGAACCCAGTTTTCACTGCTACCAACAACACTAAGAGGAGTTTGGTGCAGCAGGGCTGTGGCGTGGGGGCAGCAGGTGCTGCAGGACCTACAGAGCCTGCCAGGATGCAGCCCCAGAGCCAGCCGTGGGCACGGGGATGCTAAAACAGCCTAAGAACATGGGAGAAACCTCAACTCTCACTAAAACCTCCGAGAACCCACAGTTTCTTCCCCCCAGCATCCCCCAGTTTTCTCCAGGCTTTGAAAGGTTTATTTATGCTTAGAAGTAGACCAGGACAGGGATGGACTGCAACAGCATTTTTTTCTGAGGGGCTCTTTCTTTTCATTTACTGGTGGGGTGTTTTCATCCAGCATGATGCTGGAAACGTGGGGGAAATCCCTCCCTGCCAGCCCTGCGCAAGGTCCCAGGCAGTTCCTACCAAACCCAGGAGAACGGGCCCAGTGTGACAGTCCCTGGAGGGGCAGGGGGGACCTGGCTGGAGCCAGGGGTTGGGGGCAGCCGGCTCCTTTCCTAGCACATCTCCATCCCCTGGGGGAAGCAGACACCACTTTAGGTGGTGACCGTGCCCCTGGCTGCACCAGAAGGCACTGAGGGATGGTGGTGGCGGTGGTGATGCCAGGGATGCAGAAAGCAAGCAAAACTCGAATCAAAGCAGCACGCTCAGCAAAGAGTTAATATCTGGTGGCTGATTTTGGGTGACATCCACCTTCGCTTCTGCAGAAGGACCTTGGTGACCACCCGGGGCTGTAAAAGGGGGTCTGCAGACCTCAGCCCGTTCCCCATCAAGGTGGTCCGGGCAGCCCGCAGCCCTGCTGGCCACCTCTGCCTCCCTCTGTCAAGGTTTTTTGCCTCCACGTGTGCAGGAGCAGGTGAAAGCAGAGCCAGGTAGCAAAGGGTTAATACTACTTTCGTGCTCCTGAGTGTAAACTGTCTGCAGTCCCCGTGCTCTGAGGTCCTCTCCAGGAGTAATCCCGCAGAGGAAGGCACTGTTTTGCTGAGATTAAGCAGATCTACAGATTAAGAAAATCAAATTAAAATTAATATTTTTTTTTTGGGGGGGGAGTGGGGGGAAGAAAAAGAAAAATTGCCCTTTCCTGGGAGGTGTCTTTTGAATTATCCCTGCAGACGCTTTCCCCAGAGCCCTGTCAAACTGCACGCGTTGCTGTCCGGAGGGGTTTAAAAGTGATTCAAACTCCTCGGGAAGCACAGACATTTTAATTCCATCTGGTGCAGCCACTGAGCCCAGCTGCACGCGCTCTGCCAGCGCAAGGAGCCACCGGCCCCAAGAGCTGGGGCTCTGCCTTCTGAATCCCTTCCTGAAACCCCAAAATCCCTCCTTGAAGCCCTCGAAGCCCTGCTGCAGCGAAAGGCTCGTCCGGAAAGCGAAGGGAAAAAGATCGAGGGACTCACCAGAGCGTAGACTGAACTCAGCACGGAGCAGCAGAGGATCAAACCCAGGCTGTGATAAACCAGATATGATCCCATATCCAAGAGGCTCCTTCCAGCATCCAAGCTCGCTCGGGGAAGTAGGAGGACGAGAGGTCTTCCAGCGCTCCGGTTGCGGATGATTTCTCCTTCTCCTTCCCTCCCGCCCCCCCCCCCCCCCCCCCTTCCAGAATTTGTGTTTGTTTGATTGTTTGTTTGTTTCCACAGTTTTAGCCAGAAAGGCACATGACAAGAAAGCCCGGTCCTTTGCTTCGCTTTCTCATGGCTGGAGATCTGGGCAGCTCCCTGAGCGCAGCGGAGGAGCCCATGTGAAGCGGAGCAACTCAGAGCTGCAGCCCCTGGTGCTGTTTGTTTTCCGTGTGCATCTGTCTCAGAGCAGAAAAATCACATCCATATGTCAAAACTGCTATTCTGTTTCCTTTTTATGAGGCAGTGGGAAGTTCAAATAATTTCTTTGTCAAACGCAAACACACAGAGAGAGGCAGGGAGAGGGAGGGAGGGAGGGAGAAGGCGAGAGAGGGGTGGAAGGGGTGGGAGATCGGGAGGGTGGGGGAGGCTTTTAACCACGGCTTTATTTTTAGATCCAGTAATTTTATCTTGTAGGTTTCAGAGGGGTTTTGGGAAAAAAAAAAAAGTTTTTTTTTTTCCTTTTTTTTTTTCTTCTGCTCTGTTCGGCATGCAAACAAATCGCAAAGTCGAAAGTTAAAAAAAAAAAAAGCGAAAACTTGGAAATATTTTCACTTAGCAATTACCTTTTCGCCAACAGTGGTACTCTGGGGGATTTTTGCTTGTATATCCCAGCGCGGTTCGGCTCCACAATAGGTTTATTCTGCCAGCCTTCCAGGTTGCAGGGTGTTTTAGTTACAAATAGGGATTTTTTCGCTTCTCTCTCCCTCTCTGTCTCAAAGGATCTGCAGTTTCAAAAAGCCGATTGAGCACGGCATGAAAGCGCGGGGCTGAGAGATCCCCCCCCCCCCTTTAAGTAGTTTATTTTAGATTTTTTTTTCCCCCGCGGCAAAAAAAAAAATAAAAAAAATCTTTTCACTTCGCGAAAACGTTCAGAAATCTTCGCTGATTTTTTCTTTTTTTTACTTTTTTTTTTTTTTTTTTTTTTTTTCTTTTTTTTTTCCGCTCGGGCACCGGGTTCTCGTCTCGTGCCCGGAGGGAGCCGGGATGGGGGGGGGGGGGGAGCTGCAGCCGACTCCCTCCCTACGGAGCCCTCCGAGGACCTGGGGAGGGGGGGGACACAGTGCTGCACCCCCTTTTAGCCCCCCTTTTCCCCCTGCATTTCACCAGCTCCAGGAGTTTCAGGGCTGGGATGTTACTCCCAGCTCAGCCGGGCGCTTTCATTCATAAAACTCCTTGGCGAAGGAGGGAAAAAAAAAAATATTAAAAAAAATCAAATATATTTCGGCCCCCACCGCCCCCAATGGCGAGCTGTTGGGGGGTTTGTTTAAGAACCGAAAGCGGGCTCCTGCAGCCATCCCCTTATCACTTTTTCGGGGTGGGAGGAGAAGGAGGAGGGGAGGGGGAAGAAATCGTGGCAGGGATGCTACACGCGGGCACCCGCACGGACACAGGGCTCTGCGCACCCTTTGGAAATCAACTCGTGGGGATTTATTTTATTATGATTATTATACTTTTTTCCCTTGCAGAAGCAGCGGATTTCTGCCGGGCGGTTGTGATTTAAAAGGAGCTGAACGGAGGTAAAGAAGGGAAAAAAAAAAAAACAACAAAACAACCCACCACCAAAAAACCACCACCCTCGCTAGATGTGTCGGAGAGCAGACGGTAAAAACATCAAGTTTTCGCAGAGTGGAGCTGTGTGCATTTCTCTTTTATTTTTTGGAGCGAAGAGAAAAAAGAGAGAGAGAGAGAGAAAAAAAAAAAAAAAGCCCTCTACAGTCGGTTTGTTGCTTTTTTTTTTTTTTTTTTTCACAGCCCCATGGCTGTGAATAGGTGCCTTCAGCTAATTTTATGAAAAGGGGCTCTTTCCAAGGCTAAGGTAGAGTAGGGCTTCCTGTAAGAGAGAGAGAGAGAGAGGGAAAAAAAAAAAAAATCCTGCTCTTGATGCAATCTTTTCCTCCTCCTCCTCCTCCTCCTCCTCCTCCTCCTTGCAAGCCCTCTGCCTCTCCCTGCCAGCCCCGGCGGATCTCCGCGGCTGCGGGGGGAGCGAGGCAGGTATAAAAGCCCCCCCCCGGGCTGTCCCCCATTGGATGGCCCTATCCAGCCTGTGACCAGCGGGCTGGGAAGCACGGGGTCAGCCCTGCATCCCTCCCACCCTGTGCCACCCCCCCGTCCCACCCTGTCCCACCCCCGTCCCACCCCCGTCCCTCCCCGGTCCCTCCCCGGTCCCTCCTTCTCGCCCCGCTGGCTCCCCGTTGGGGGGGGGGCTGCATGCAGGGACGGGGGACTTGAGGGGGGGTTCACACATACAAAGGGGGGTGTTGGGATGAGGGATTTAAAAGCAGTGAAGCCCCCCCATCCCATTTCCACCCCCCCTGCAGGATGGGGGTCAAGCTTTCGCAGAGAGTTATTGGGGAGGGGGGCTCAGGAAGGAGCTGGGGGGGCTGGTTTGAGGGGGGGGGGGCTTTGAGGACGCAGACCCCATGCAGATTTTAACACCTTTGCTGTATTTTTTTTTTCTTGGGGGGAGGCTGGCTTGCTTCTGTCCATTGCACCGACGGAGGGGGGTTTTGGGGGTGGGAGAGCCCCCAACACTGGGGGGAGCCGAGCATCTGTGTGTGTTGAGTATGGGGAAGGCTGAGCAAGGGCTCTGTAGTCTTTCTGAAGGAAGGAAGGAAAAAAAAATCCACTGCAAAGTTTCATGAGCCCCATCGCAAGTCCCTTGCTGTTTTTTCTTTCTTTCTTTCTTTTTTTTTCTTTCTTTTTTTTTTTCTTTTTTTTTTTTTATTATTTTTTCTTTTTTTCTGGGAAAGGGGCTAGAAGCAGGGGAAAGCCTCCGCTATTAAACTGCCCCCACCTCCTGGTGCTACCAGCAGGAGGCGATGAAAATACTCCAGGATCTGAAGTGGTTTGGGGAATTGGCCTCCTCTGGGCCTTGTCGCCTCTCTGCATCCAGCCCCTGGTGTGCAGGGTGCAGGGCTGGGCCAGGGGTGCCTCTGGGCTGCTGCTTTCTCCCCCTAATCATGTAATGATTAAAGGCAGATCCCACAGGACTGCTGAATCTGTACAAGAAGGAAATTGTTCCCTCCCTCCAGCCCCAGCTCGAAGTTTGCCTGAAGAAGCACAAGCAGGGAAACCTGACTCTGGCTGCGTCTCGCTGTGAGGGATGGCTTCCTGGATCCCCTTTATCCATATATAAAATAAATTCACACCACAGGACAGACATACAGAGGTCCAAAGGCACCCCCCTGCCACGCACAGAGGTCAGGGCCTGATGTATTTCTCCTGGCCTGCTCCCTAGGAGTATGGGGAGCGCAAGGGCCATGGCTCTTCTTGGAGGCAGGAGCCTCAACGCCCTGCAGCCAAGGCTAAAGGTGGCTTTCCTTGAGTGGTAGCCCCACATAATAGTGTCCCCATCTGGTTCGTTGGGTGCTGAGGATCAGGCCCTGCAGACTTAGGCCCCGCCACCCTTGGAAATTGTGATTTATGCAAGGGCAGGCGTGAAACAGTCGAGCCGGCTCATTTTTGAGCAGGTGCCCCAGGAAAATGCTGTTGTCAACTCCCTTCACCCCCAAGCACCAGGTGTGCTCTCAGTCCTTGGCCACAAGACAATCCCTCCTCTCTCTGCAGACCCCTGAGGGTGAGGTGAGGTGGGCTGCATCCTCAGAGACGTGCAGTTTTTTGGGGCAATGCAGGGGAGCAGGGAGGTCCCTGCGTGGGTCATGAAGGGAGGCCTCTGAAGGCCTCTCCCCACCGGAGGGCACAGGACTGTTTTCCAGAAGATCTGTTCCAGGCTTATTTCACTCCTGTCAAGGCAAAGGTGCTTTGGACATCTTAAGTTTTGTTTTGTTTTTCTTTCAGATTGTATCCATGAACATGTGTATAAGGAACCAAGAAGGAACGCAGCACTAAAGGAAGCCTTTGTAATGCTGCTATTTTAAGGAGACCCTTGGGGATGGCACGTGCTGAACTGAGTTCCTTCAACATCTTACAACAAATCTCTCCAAATGTTTAGATCCTTCTACTGATATAAAACAAAAACAAAAAAAAAATCCGCAATCAATTTAAACTGGCTAAGGTTTTGACCAGAAATTATTGCTCTTGTGCATTGGCTCTATATTTGTAGCTAACTTTTACACAGCCTAATAATAAACATCTCCTCCTCCCAGCTGGGTGAATGTTTCCCTTCTGCAGGAGATGAGGTCCCATCCTGGATAAAACACCTCTTGTCCTTTTTCTCCTGGGTCACTCAGGTTCAGCGAAACATCGCAACTTACGTCAGCCAAAGGCATTGATCGGGAGGGAAAGGTCTGACCTGGACAAGGTTGGCAGCCACGCCGCAAAAATCCCACATTGTGTAAGAAGCCAGTCCAATGACTGAGTGTCACAGAGGATGAGATGGCCTTTTCTGCTCTGTTTTCACTTGTTTATTGCCAGCGATTTGTTTGCAAAGTCAAAGCCAAAATATACAAGAAGCAGCTTTGGACACGTTGGGTTTGTGCATCAGGCCAAACAGCCATCGTGAATTTCTGGCCATATTTTTTGTATGTGTTATAAAGAGCAGAGTTTTGATGTCGCCGCTTTCTTTTGACATGGGTAGAGATGAGAAGGGTTAAAATGGAGGCCCAACAGTTCAGGCCTGATGCTGTCTGCACTCACCTGAAGCCATAACTCTTGGCTGAGATGACTGTGAAAGCATCATGCGATGGCTTCTCTGCTGGCTCTTAAAGGAAACATCTGCTCTGGGTCTTGTGGACAAAATCCAGGGTGAAAAATTCTCTCAAAGCGAAATGAAAAGCCAGCTGAAGGTCGTGAGGGTAAGTCATGACCCCCTCCGCTGGTTGGTTCTTGGTGCCTCAGGTTAGCTGTTGTGCAGTGTGACCATAACCATAGTGAACAGCTGGTATCAATACTGCCAAGGGGTCTGCGATGTTCACATTGATGCCATCAAACACCTCTGTGATCAGTGTGAGGCTGTCTTGTTCCAAAACTCCTTGTTCTTTGGCTCACCTTACCCGAAAAACTGCCTCATGCTGAAAGAAAAGTGAGACTGAACATTGAGCCCCCAAATCCATGGCTCAGTTGAACTCTCCTTGCAGGGGAACAGTGGTGTTCATATCATTCAGAAAAGAGATGTGAGAAAAGAGGTGGAATAGATTAAGCTGTTGGAGATGAGTTTGTGGAGACCGTCTCTAGAACATCGACACCTAAGAAACAAAATCATTGAAAGTGCTCTTACGAGATGTTATTCTCACTCAGTAGCTTCCAGACCAAACACGGATCCAATTTGCTAGATTGAAGAAGGGCCTGTTTTTTTATCTAGCTGTTTCTCATACCAGACCAGGCACACATCTGGCCCTCATTATCACCAGTGTGAACGATGCGGTTGGATGAAGTGAGATGTGGGTTTTTTTGGTCAAGCAGAAAGGAGTCCATCTGAAAGTCAGGATGGGTAGGCTGTTGGACCTAAATAGTTCTCTGTCCTGCTCTTTCCTATCACTACTCACAGCCTTCCAGTCACCACCAGACGCCTTCAAAACATGGTTTCCCTGAGATAACTTCCAGAAAGCCAACCTACCTCAACATCGAGGCTTCCAGGAATGGCAGTTTACCTCCTCGCTGTCCTTTCCTTGGAGCACAGCATCAGTCAATGGTAATCATGCTCAACATTGAAAAAACATTTCCTGTTTTTCTAAGGTGAGGTTTGCTTGCTGGTCCTTGACATTGTCCATCAGCATCCAACACTCAAGGAACAGGACTGTCCTGCGGATGAGTGACAGGACAGGAAAATACACTTGTTTTACTCATATAGTGAATCCTCAAGAACTGGAGGTAAGAGTCCAAACATCGTACGATGACATTTTTGGTTTTCAACAGCTTTCTTTTTTGATTTGTTTTGACTCTTTCTGAAGAAAAGAATCCACTCCCCTTCCTTCAAGTGACAGGAAAATCAACAACAGCAAAAATATTAACGCTGGTCAAAAATAGATTTTTCTATATAGGAGAAATCATAAAATAAACATAAACATAAAACATTACTCTGCAAAGGCTCTCTAGGTGGAAGCACACAGGATTGCTTGTGATAGATGCTCAAAGATGGACTAAACAGACTGTACACCTCCTCTAATACTCTGTGCTATGCAAGGTGTTGTAGACTCTTATATATGTATAAAGGTTAAAAAGATAAAAATAATTTGGGAGAAAAAGGAGATGAGACATTTGGGGCTGAGGTGTTGGTTTAAGGCAGACAAAAGAGTGTTAGAGGTGACAGTCGAATCCAAAAGCATTTTCCATCTTAAGCAGGCCAGCTAGGCTAGTGAAATCACTGGGTAGCAGACCATAGCCAAGGGCATCAGACCAAGACCTTTAGCTGAAATGAAACTGTACTCTGCTGTTTTTCATTATAAAACACATTAAATTAAGCCCTTTTTAAGCTTTTGTGAGCCCTACTGTTGAAAGAGACTCATGGCATGCAAGCAAAGGATGATCTTCCCAAGCAATGGTCTTGGTCCTCATTTGGTTGTGTTTTCGTGATGATGAGGGGATATAGAGGCTTGCATTCCAGTCTCTCTTCTTTTGGGCAGCCCTTGAAATGCCAGAATTTGGTGAACCCTGATGAGCAGGTGGGGCAGATAGGCTCTGCAAAGCATCCTGGACTCTTGCCTTACCCTCCTTCTGTTGCTCTCTTTGCTGTAGGCCTGATTAGAGCTGATGCTGTGAAGTGAGATGGATGTGGGTGGGATGGAGATCAGGGTCTGGGCTCCAGAACATGTCTGACTGATCCACGGGGATCCCAGCCTGGCTGATAAAATCCAAATCACAGCTCCCCTCAGTAGCAGAGCTTAGGAGACACCAACATCAGCTGAAGACATGGTGGTCTGCATCCTCATAGGGCCAGTGTCTGCAGGACATTGGGGGTAGGACTGGGAAATGCAGCTCTAGCTGATTCTATGCTCAGTCTATTCCTGACTCCCTCACCTCTCTGCTGTGGTTGTGCACAAAAAGGATCAGAGTGATCCTGGTGAGCTCAGCTCTTTACCAGGTGAGGTTCCCACCATGCTGACCCCTGGTCGGCCTTTCAGGTCATTCACCGTGGCTTTATCTTCCCTGCAGAGTAGCAACAGATGCCACTTCTGGCTTGTTCTCTATTTTTTTTTTCCTTCCTAGGGAGGGTCTTTTGTTGTTTATCAGCTCCACCTTCCAAAACAGCAGCATAATTTGAGGTTTTACACAAGATTTCACATGTGGTTACTCTGCCTGCTGCTCATCAGTCTATTTGTTTCAGTGATTTCTGCACACCACTGAGCAATCACATTCCCACCCTAAGGGATAAGTGAGTCTCTCAAGCCTGCATATTTTACTCCATGCGCATGAGGTCTTTTTTTACTCTTTAAAATAATAATAATAAAAAACTATTCCTTCCTCTGCCAGGTGCGTGACAGACTGGACGTCTCTGGCAGCATACCTGGGCTTGAATCAAGTTTTCAAATTATTTTTTTTTCTCGTGTTGCCATCCAAGGCACGGTCAGAACTGAGGGCAAACTCCAGTTCGGAGGTGAGCAAGGAAAGCCCTTCTGAAACTGCCAGGAGCTGAAACAATTTGGCAAGCGTTGCAGAAGAAAACTGCCAGCATGGAATGACGAGATGGGAGCATTACTTCAACAGAAGAAGCTCTGATTAGCAGATTATCGCTTAAGTGATGTTGATCCCAGCCACGCTGCCTTCCAAATGAGCCCTTTCACAGCTGCCAGCTGCACCACGGAGTCATGCATGTAAATAAGTGGGCCAGATCCTTTGCTGGCATCGGTTGAGGCAGCTCTGATGGACCATCGTGGAGTTACAGCAGCTGGAGAAGTCTGGCTATGTCAGGGAGTTTGACGTGCCTCACAAACTTCTTTGGGAGCTGATGGGAAGGAGAGCCTGAAACAGAGCTGCCTGCATGTTGCAGGATGGGACAGCTTCTCCTGGTCCAACAGCACCAAAAGCACAGCTGGAGGGACCCTCTAAACCTTAATTTAGTCTATTTGCTACCTGACAAGCTCTTCTTTGTAAGTAAATTTTATTTTTATTGTATTTTTGCTTATTTATATTTTGTTTATTAATTATTTTATTATATTTTATTATTTTATTTTATTTTACTTTAATTTTATATATTTTTATTTTCATTTTCTTTCAATTTACTTTTAATTATAGATAGGAAACTCGGCTATCAGATTCCAGCCGAAACCAGTGTGCAAGGCGCCTGTGCCTTGGTGGGCTGATAGAAGCTGCAGAAGCTGGAGCCACCTTACTGCTAGCTGTAAGAGAGATCCTTGCTGAGTCAGATAGGGGAATGATGAGGGATTTTTTATTTTTTTTATTTTTTTTTTTACAGTTGCTGAGCTTGTAACCTGTTCCCTGGGACCATAAACCAGTATATAGCGTCTTGCCCTCATAAAGCTCTATTTGTCTCCAGCCAGCCTGTTTGGTTGAGCGTGTGGGGAGCATGTGAGGGACTCTCATGAGCAGCCTCGCAGTCTCGGGGCTGTGCTCTTGCCTCGGGGTGAGCTTTCCCCGGAGCTCACAGTCCATCGCAGCTCTGATAAGCGTTCAAAGGTGATGGCCTAAAACCTGCGGAGTTGGTGGCGAGGGGGGAACAAGCTCTCTTTGTGAGGCTGCTCGAGCTTGCTGCTGCGTGCTGGAGACAACGCAAAGCCACAGCTTTCCAGGACGCCTGTGCTGGGTGCAGGTGAATGAAATCTTTCATTCGGTTCCCCAAACAGTCTAGGAAGATCCTCAGCTTTGTCCTGAATGGCGCTGCGGCCCACTCCAGGATACATCTTAGAATCATAAAATCTCTGAATCATACAATGTTTTAGGTTGGAAAGGACCATAAGGATCATCTAATTCCACCCCCCTGCCATGCCCAGGGCCCCCAGCCCCCAGGCTGCCCCCAGCCCCATCCAGCCTGGCCTTGGGCACTGCCAGGGATGGGGCACCCCCAGCTCCTGGGGGCAGCCTGCACCAGGCCTCACCGCCCGCAGAGGGAAGGATTTCTGCCTCAGATCTAACCCAAACCCACCCTTTGATGGCTTCAAGCCGTCACCCCGTGTCCCATCTCTACGCCCCATGCCCAAGAGACCCTCCCCAGCCCTCCTGTACCTCCTGCAGGCCCTGAAGGCTGCTGTGAGGTCTCCCCACAGCCCTCTCTTCTCCAGGCTGAACAACCCAACTCCCTCAGCCTGTCTCCACAGCAGAGCTGCTCCAAGCCTTTAGATCACCTTCATGGCCCTTCTCTGGACTCACTCCAACAGATCCCTGTCCTCCTGGTGCTGGGGCCCCAGAGCTGGGAGCAGGGCTCCAGATGGGGTCTCATGAGAGCAGAGCAGAGCAGAGGGGGACAATCCCCTCCCTCACCCTGCTGACCATGCTACTTTGATGCAGCCCAGGACATGGTTGGTTTCTGGGCTACAAGCACACATTGCTGGCTCACATTGAGCCTGTCATTCACCACCACCCCCAGGGCCTTCTCCTCAGGACTGCTCTCAATCCATTCCCCACCCAGCCTGTGTTTGGGTTTGGGATTACCCCAGCCCAGATACAAGACCACAAATGGCCACAATTGACAATGACTTTAAGTGCTGGTAGTTCTTAGGTTATCATATTGAATCCTGGTTTGTCACCACAACCATGCTGTGGACCTGGACTTTTCAAACTAGAAAATCAGGCACTGAAGAAGAGGTGTGCAATAAATAGGAGGAGATAGATCTGTAAAAATCATGAAGAGGGTAATGGGAAATGGTTATCTGGTGTCTCTCTTAATACCGAGATTGGGAACACAGGACTGAAAATCTTGGTGCAAAGCAAACAAAAGGCAGTGGCTTTATAAGCAGAAGGTGAAGCTATGAAGCTTTTTGCATACAATTTTTGTTTAAATGGATTCAGAAGGTGATTAGATGAGCTAAAGGAAGAAATAAAAACACCCAAAGTTTTCAACACTAATGTAATATCGTTGCTCTAGAGGGTCTCTGAGTAAGAGGTTACTGAGGGCTGGGAAGGTCAGCGGGAAACCATTGGTGCGTGTTTGCCCTGTTCTTGCAGTTGTTAGTAGTAGTACTGCTAGTAGTTATGAGTACCCTGATAAGTCCTTATCCACCCTCAGTGCTATCCCCTGTCATTGTTATCCACCATCAGTTATCACCATCAGTAATAGGACACTTAGGGGGGTGGACATTTAATCTGATCTAGATCAGCCTTTCTAGGGTAAAAAAGAAAAAAAAAAAAAAGAGGGGGGGGGGGGGGGAGAAAAAAAATGAAAAAGGAAAAAAAAAAAAAAGAAAAAGGGAAGGTGATTTTCCATTTTCACTGATGACAGATGGGATCTCTGGCCAAGTCCATCCCACTCTGAAAGACTGATCTTTGGAGAACTGTGACCGAGGACGTGCTCCAAGTTCCCCATGCCTCCTGCCCATCTGTACTGCTGCTTCTCCATCAGCTCATGGACCACGTGCAGCCAGTCCCTGTGGGGCTTCCCCAGCATCTGCATGACACCTCTGGCTGCTTAACTGGCAGCTCAGGGCTTGGACAACTAGGACAGCTTGGCAACATCACAGACACGGTCTCAGGAGCTTTTCTTGGCTTTCCTTTCCATGTGTGTCAGAAGGACCAATCTGATTCTGGCTCCTGCTCTTTGGGACAGGAGATCTCATACTTGTCTGGAGATGGTCGTGCCAGGTGTCGCAAGAGCCCTGGGGTCTGTTTATGTTGGTTGCTTCTGCTATCCAAGGCTGAAGCACCACCCTTGATTACCACAGCACTGCACACCCCTTCTTTGGGTGCAGGAAAGCATCTCCTTCAGAACAAGGCTTTCCCTCCTGATTGTCTGAAAATCTGTTGCTTCTTATGGTTGGCTTGCTACTAAAAAATTCTGTACATCATATCAGCATCCAGCTCACGTGGCTTTTGTTTCCAGCTCTTGAACTTTCTTACCCCTTTCTTTCACGCTCAGAGAAAAGGCTTGGCTGGTATTCCAATCCTTACAAACTCTCCTTTATCAATATGAATGGGTTTTTAAAAGTCATCTCTGATTGAAGCTTCCAGCCTGCATCAAGCAAAATTGGGAAAAAAAAAAAAAAAAGCTCATGTATTTTCAGTGTCAATCACTGCAGACTCAATGAAGTATCCAATTATTCCAAGCAACACATGATTATGGGCTATTATCCTGCTGTCCTGCAACATAAACTCTGGAAGAAAGTGTCCTGGGGTACAGCAATAACATAAAAATACCAGCTCTTAGGCACTAGAAGAAACAGTTAAATTCATACCAGTCTTGCGGAAGTGGAGGTAAAATGTTCTCACTGTGATTTGTTAGCACTTCATATTACTGTTTTATTGTAAATGGAAACTAAATCATTGAAGAAATCCACCAGCTATCCAGAACTAATTTATAAATATAAATTACACAGTAAAATCAGAATAAATTTTAATAAGAAGCATTTTTATTATTTATTTTATTTTATTTTATTTTATTTTATTTTATTTTATTTTATTTTATTTTATTTATTTTTTATTTTATTTTATTTTATTTTATTTTATTTTATTTTATTTTATTTTATTTTATTTTATTTTATTATTTTATTTCATTTCATTTCATTTCATTTTAATTTCATTTTATTTTATTTTAATTCTGGGGACCCAGGCAGAGTGAAATAGATTCCCATTTCCCCTTTGAGCAAAGGACTGATTTCTAGTGTCATTACCTTGCATGTAGGACTTGCCGAAGGGCTTGGTGGGGATTAGAGCTGCTCTGAGTGCTGTTGGGACCAGACTGACACATGTCCAAGCTCAACCTGAGCGTAGCGCCTGTTTTAGGGAAACACCAAGGCAAACCAGAAAGTGCCTACAGGAGAGCCAGAAGAAAACTTCAGAGATTTCAAAGATGGCATCAGGAGGAGAAGTTAATTTTACTTATTTATATTATTATTTATTTATTTAGCCCATTTTTAAGACTGGGAGACAGGAACGGATTCATCCTCAGTTTTGAGGTTTAGCAGCTGACTTGTCCAGGACCACATGCTGGACTCAGAGAAGGACATTCGCAGCAGAAAAGAGACACTGAAGATAGACAAGTGAAATTCCTGTGCCTCAGCTCAAAATCTTTAAGCTGGGGAGAATGCCAGCTGATTTTATCTTCTGCGGTAGAAAATACAATATAATGGGTGAACTTCTGTCTGCCTTTTTCTATTATACCTAGTAAATGACTGCCAGGATCATGAAATACCAATGTAATATAAATCTATTATTGCACTCGTCTGTTTCATTAAATCATCTGGATGTGGACTTCGTGAGCAAAAATCCATTTTAAGTACAGTGAAGAATCTGCCATGCTGCTTTTAGATTCTTTTACAGGTCTACAAATCTCTGGCACCAGCTATCATGCGAGGCAGTTTGAAGACAATGAAAGAAGTTCTGTGATGCGTTAAAAAGTTTGTGTCTGTAGCTGAAATATTCTCTTCTCCTTTGAAACTTGTTTGTGTGGGAATTAGATCATCTCCAGACATGCTCCAAGTGAGAACAAAGGTACATGATTGGATATAATTGAGCTATGCAAACATTTTAGGATACAAATGGGAAAGCTGGAAGTGAAAAGTGAATTAGAAATTATATGGTCCCATCCACCCCCCCAAAAAAAGAAAAAAGAAAAAAAAATAGAAGATTTTATATGTTATATATATTGTTTATAATATCTATTATATATAGATAATTATTACACAATAATCTATATATAATATATAAATCATAATATATGATTATAAAATTATAAAATTATTAATTATTATATATTATTTATATATACAAGCTTATATGTATAATATATTATATGATATATTTTTATATACGTTTATATATATATTATAATATATTTATATATATTTAAAGTATATTTAAGAAATAAGAAAATAATGAGTTAGGATAAGCTTATTACTCCATCACCATGAAAATCCATAAAAATAAAATCATCATTATTAATTGCTTTGATTTGCATAAAAAGCCCATACTTTTCTTTAAAAAATATATATTTTTTTTCTAGAGTAGAGGAGAGGGTAAGGTAAGAGAGACAGGAAAGCAATTGCTCAATGGATTAGATATGTACCATGGGCCCAGTGAATGCTGAAAAATTAGCTGGAGCAATCTGCACTGTATGTGAGAGCTTATTAGGGAGGGAAGGGAAACCTGAGGTGGCTGCAGGAAGTCAGGATACAGCCTGTCTTCATGCAGAGGCAGACAGGATGGTCAGAGAAGGGGCAGATGGAGTTTTTCAACTTTGGAAGACACCAGAATGAATTAATTAGAAATTTATAAGCACTTGGAAGTACTTCTGTGGTGATGGAAAACAACCCCTATGGATCTGTCAAGAAGAAATCCCGTCAAACCAATGTACTTTCAGTTTTGACAGGATAATGGGAGCAGGGAGGAATAGGAGACTGTGTTGTGTCTTGGTTCTGACACAGCATTTGGCACTGTCTCATATGATCCCATCATAAGCAAACTAGTAAATAACAGTATTCATCTTCCCTCTACTGGATGGGCATTGGGTGTCTGACTCTGAGCCGGTCACCCTGAGGCAGATAAAGAGGAGTGTCCAGAGGTGATTCATCTCATCCATCTTGGCCACTGAACTTCAGGTGGAAAACATTGTGCTCTGCAGGTGCCCATTTCTCTCCCCTGACTTTAAAGATAGCCTTGGGTTACTGGCTCAGCATTTTTCATCTGTCTTTTAGACACCCAACTTAAGGCAGAAGAATCTTACTTGGAGTTTAAATTTATGACCCTTTCTTCTTTCTTTCTTTCTTTCTTTCTTTCCTTTCTTTCTTTCTTTCTTTCTTTCTTTCTTTCTTTCTTTCTTTCTTTCTTTCTTTCTTTCTTTCTTTCTTTCTTTCTTTCTTTCTTTCTTTCTTTCTTTCTTTCTTTCTTTCTTTCTTTCTTTCTTTCTTTCTTTCTTTCTTTCTTTCTTTCTTTCTCGTAAAACTCAAACTTTCTTGTTATGATCACTCTTGAAAAGGTTATTTGCTGAATTGTAGTGGTGCTCAGAAAATTAATAGATGCCCAGATCTTCTGTTCTGAAGCTATCTGCTGAATGAGGCACTTCACAACCAGGGAACTGGTCCTTGTGGTATCTTGTTTTGCCATTAGCAGCCAAGGAAGGTGCCAAGAAGCAGGGAGCCAGGTTACCCAGAAACAGGTGAATTGGTGGTGTGGACCAGGAACAGGAACCTAGTTTTTCAGGTTGCCATCAACTAGAAAAATGTCTGCATAGTCAGTTTTGATGAAGTGATATCTCCAGCCAAAACTGACCCATTCCTCTTGGATTTCTGATTGCCTAGCATTTACTGCAGTGTTTCCTTCATATTTTTTTTCAGTCAGATATCTGCCCAGGCTTCAAAGTTAGAGATACAGGTAGAGAAATCATTCACCTGATATACTCTTATTGTCTGCTAGTTGGAAAGGAGAGTGATCTGATGGATAAAATATGCATTAGGCTCCTTTAGTGAAAATAAATCTAACCATTCCCAAATCGTTGCTAGATCATTAATATTTTAACTGAAGAAAAAAAAGGGGATTATTTATTTATTTATTTATTTTCTGGCTTTGTGCAAATGCACACACCTGTCACCTGGGTAGGAATTTCCAAAAGAGAAATTGCACACTCCTTTTTGATCTCTTCAGGACTACAAGTGTTTTGGAAAGCATCTGCTGGACAGCTTTCTGGGCTGTTTCCTCCTGCTAATGAGAGAGTGGCTTATTTTATTTGCCTTTTGTGTCTTTCAGTTGTTCCTATTGTTTCAAGCTGGGGTTAGTAAAAGTAAGTTCTAAGTAACAAACAGCCTCCAACAATCCGCTATCCTCATCCATGCCAAGGTACGATTTTATTGTATTTGTAGCTTTTCCATTTGTGCCCGAGGAATCCTTCTGACAGCATTCATGACTCTGCTAAACAAGGAAACTGAACTGGGGACTGGTTAGTGTCTCATACACAAAAGCTGGGCAAAATACGTTGCAATAGTAGGCAGAGAATGTATGAGCTTTTCAGCCATCTACGTTATTAAGCCAAGCTTCTGAGTCAATGCCCATGAGAGTTAGATGCCCTGTAAAGCTGCAGTGGAAATACTTGTATGTGTGTCTGTGCATGTGCTTTTCTTTCTGTGTGCAGAACCTAAAATGAGTCACATTTCTTGGTAAAAGTCAAGGAAGACCCTGTTTCCCATAATAAAAGACAGCCTAGAGAAGACTATATGCTCAGAGTGTGTTTTTTTTTTTTTTTTTTTTTTTTTTTGTTGTTGTTGGTTGTTTCCTTTTTTTTCCTTGTTTTTATTTATTTATTTATTTATTTATTTATTTTTATTTTCTTTTTTCTTTTAATATAAGGATTTGAGCCTAAACATCTCATGGGTACCTTAATTGGTTATGTCAGTAGTTCAGGTCACTGATTCTAAACAAAATGTCCTCACCATCCAGCAGCACCTTCTCCAAACTGATGCATTTGCACCAATTTCTTCCATTTCAAAAAGACAATGCTATTTTTAATAAAGAAATTCCAAGCATTTTGTCAGAAATGTTCTAAACAAACACCAATCATTTGCCCATAGTAAGCTAAGCCTTAAAATAATCAAATGATACATCACCTTTAGTGAATATAAGAAGTAATTAGTTATCAGTTAGAAAGATAAGATTTTACAATAAATTACTTTGCTGACAAAAGTGTCATCATGCAAATCAGAGTCAGAAAGTTACTTGGTATTTTCTATTGTTCCCAGAGTTCTTGGTTTAAAATTTGTTATTTCTTTTAAAAGCTTTTACTAAAAATTACTCAGGTTGCAGAACAATTCCTGAACATTTTGACATGATGAAAGTAGACTTTGATAAGAAGGTTGTGGAAACTTTCTACTTCCATTTAGTGGAAATAAAAAAGTTACAAAGTAATTAATGAGAAACAGAAAAAAAAATATATATTTTAAATGTGCATGAAATTATTATTTTTTAGTATTTCATTCAAACTTTTTACATCTTTGATCTGTGAAGTAGAATATCTCTTAAACATGCTTCATATTGTATTGGGAGCCAGCCTCACGCCCCTTTAGCTTGCTCTATACTTCCACAGACAGTGTTCCTAAAGACATTCTATAAAATACTCCAAAATACAGTATGGTTACACCCCATAAACCTTTTTTTTTTTTCTTTTTTCTTTGCTGTTTGAGGAAATTGTGGAAGTTGGCTCTTGCACATTTCAACAATGCTACCCAGCCAAGCATAAGAATAAGGGAGCAGAATGGAAAAAAAAGAAAGAAAAGAAAAGAAATACACCAGACTTTGGAACATTTATTTGTTGCCAGGACTTTAGGTATTTTCAATTTAGGAACATTTTCCAGCTTCTCTATTAAAAACCTTTTCTTAGTTATAAATAATGCTTGTTTAGCAGAAGTGAGTGTCAAATGAAATTTCTTTTGATAGTAAAATTTCCCAGTCAAGGATCCCTGCTCTTTCAACATTGGTGTAGTCAGAAGCAATGAAGTCCTATCTTTTGAGATGAGATCTTTGAATTGAAGCAGTTCTTGCAGAGATGCCTTTGGCAGTTTGTTTTTCTGGATTATTTCTTAATGTAAAGGACAGTGAAAAGACTGAAGTCTTGTATTGGAAGCATCAGACTCCTGGTGCTATGAGAGCGTGCTGGTGGCAGAGCATTCTTTTTCTCTCATCTCCAATTTTCTCTTTGTGTTCCTAACTGGGAGACAATATTCCAGATTCTCAGCTGGTGGAAATTTATCCTCTGCTGCCTAGAGTCAAAGTAGTATTCTCAGTTTTGGATGGCATGCAGAAAAAAATAAATAAATGTATCGGGAATAGCTGAGGTAGGGTTAATCTTAAATTAAGGTAGAAGTGTGATCAGATGACGTCTTTAGGTCCCCTTTTCATCTTTTTTTCTATGATTCAGTGATGCTGGAGTGCAGGTAGGGAATCTTGTTCGTGGCCAGTCATACAACCTATACATTGGTTCCTCCGAGTGCCAAATTAGATTTTACAGTGAAATTTAATTAAGAAGTAACTGTTCAACTAAGGTAAGAGCAGAACATTTCCATTACAGTCTTCCCCTCTCTCTGTAGGGTTTTCACTTGGTTGATTTCTTTCTTATTTTCTTCTTTATCTTTTTTGGGGGGCTTAGATGGGGAAGTCATCCTTTTTCCCATCCCAGAACTTCAGCAAGTCATTAAAGTTCCTCTTGCTTCACTGAAGTGAAGGCTATTTAAAGTGTTTAATCTTCAGCACCTCTGTGGTGGCAGGATCTCCTGTAGGTGATATTCTACCATGTCTGAGAGGGTTTGTGGAAGAGTCTGGATGGCCAGCTCTGGCTGGAGGCTGAACGAGTCCAATAAAAGCTGTTTACAATATCCCAGATGGTGCCTGGTCTGGATCTAGTGATCTAAGCAGTGTAAGATCTTCTCATTTCACTTTTTCAGGATGCAATTAATTCATGTATCAGAAAGTAGGTGAAAGAATTGAAGTAGAAACTGAAATAAACTGCAGGTGTCACAGGAAACAGGACTTAGTAAGCCAACTAGTTAAAACCTTATCTTCCAATAAATAGAAATGAATAAATGCTCATTAATTCCAGAGCAGCCAAGGAAAGAAGGATTTGTGTGTTTTGCTCTGCCAGAAGGAATGAGACAAATGGAGTCCCTGGCCATCTGAGTCTACAAAGAGACAAATGGCCTGTTCTGTAGAAGCATGGTGAGAAAAGGAACTTGACCACAACAGAGTCGCGTAATTACAGATTAGACATTGCTTTCTGTCACCTCTAAATCAATTTCTCTCTCTACTTGTCTAGAACAGGTCTGGTTCATTTCTTATCTTAAATAATGGCCATTCACATGAGGAGCAGGATTCACCTTCCGAAATGTAGGCATTTAGTTTTGTTTTATTTTATTTTTTTTCTTTTTTTGTAGATACTTTGTGCTATCTGATATATCCATGCAGAGCCGGAAGATTGGACGCTGGATTTAAGGGAGACCCCTGCCTGTCTGGAGAGGAGGCCTGGCAGGTCCCTTGAGGCATTGCAATTGTAGTAATCTCTGTTCAAAGTGCTGAGTCCCACTAGTACTGGAATATTGGTCCTCCAGTGAGATGGCAGCTGTTTGTAGCAGAGTGGTCTAGATGATCAGAGTTACAGAAGAAGCCAGTACTGTATCCCATTAATATAAACACGGAGTCACAAAAAATTTTGAATTGTATTGGCAGCCCAATCCTATTGTCTGAACTCAGGCCATTTTGGGCAGCAAAGAAAGGAAAACAACAAATGCTATGCATCACTGGGGAAGAAGCCCTGCCAAAGAACTGCATCCACAGGGATCATGGCAGAAAGAGAGACCCAAAGCAACATCTTCCATGTGGCAGTAGCTCGATTCAATGGGTAACGTTAAATGAAAGGCATGCATTTCATCGGTCTCCTGTTGATGTCAATCTTGTGTACTGAGATCAAAAATTGACCTTTCTAAACTGAAATGTTTCCCTCCAGGAAGTTTAAATATTTTGACTTTGTTCCAGTTTGAGAGGAAAACAAACATCCAAATATCAGAGTCTTCTTGTGCAAGAGCAATGTCATTGCCCCATGTGCTGTGCCGTTGTATTTATTACTTTGTTCATTGCATCTGATTTTTATTTTTTTTTTTCCAGTGGAAAGTTTTAAATGGAAATGATTGAGGTTGGTTTTGAAGACTGGCACAAGGCTGAACATACTTCTCTGGGATTTCTTCTCTTCCCCTCCTCCTTTTCCAAGTAAAGTGATAAATTGAATCATATATAGATTCCACAAGCACAATTCTAGACTTCATGTGCACATGAGCATGCATTTGTATGCAGTCATGCACATGCATTGGCAAGAAAATAATGAAGACAAACAAAACATCCTCTATGCCAAACAGTGGCAGTAGAGAAAAGGGAATAGTGAATAATCTAATAACACCATGCCAGAAATGTGAGGGAAAAATACCTAAAAAAGGAAAAGGGAGAGCTGATTGCTGCATGCCCAACTCTCAGAGAGAAACAGATCATTAGCTGAGAGGTAGGAGACTTCCTGGAGTACAGTAAATAATATAGTAATTGTCCAACATGACAACAATATTTATCTTCTTAATTTCAGCCATTTAAAAATACATTTCTAGGATGTCTCAGATGCTTATCTTTGTGTGGGATTGAAAGCCAATATAGTCTTCTTTCTTGAATGACTCTAGAGGGAACCTAGAGGTTTACTTTAAACTAGACAACTCAATTTTACATGGCTAAAGTTAGGTGAAATTGATCCCTTTCTTTTCCTATCCATCCCCTGCTGCTGCTCAGACTCCAGTTGAAGACACTGTATACTCATTAACTCCAAGAGAGTTTCTAGTGTGCTAGTGAGCTAATAAAGGAAGGAATTTATGATTTCAGAAAAAGGATAAACATCAAGATCCTTGCTCCCAACAAATAGCCTTGGAAAAGAAAAAAATAGAAAAAAAAAAAAAGAGAAAAAACAGAAGGCAGGCTGGAGGGGGGGGGGGGATGCTACTTAGGCAGAAGTCTTGAAATAGAAAGTTGGTCCAACATTGCTGTGAGATGTCAGCAATTTTTAACTGAGCTTTGCCTGGAGATATTCAACTGGTTGGAACTAATCCATTTCCAGAAGAGGTGAATCAGTGTCTAGCAATTCGCTAAGACAGTTGCCCAAGTGCTGTTTGCTGAAAATCTGCATTTCATTGCCTTCATGAGGGTAGAGTCCACTGGCACGCACAAGTGCATCCAAGGAGGCAGCCCCAAGGTCTCGTTTGAGCTGGTGAGTACAGGAACTGCGGCTGTCAAGCAGAACATCTCAGCCAGACCATAAACCTTTGTGGGTGTGAGATGAGACACTGGGAGTGGGTGAGGGGTGGGGAAGAAAAAGTGCTGTGCAAACTAGGGAAGAGTTTTGTCACTGAGTAAGTGTAAATTGGCCCTGGTTATGCTCCAGCTACAATAAGAAAGACGGTCTCTGCCCAACCCAGGGGAGTGAATCCCAAATGAACTTTTTCAGGAATAGTGGGGATGGACACTTGAATACAGAGTAGCATGCATTTCCTTGGGTGTTATGTAACAGATTTTCCTGAAATAAGAGAGACCTGGATTAAAACATAAATAAATCTCTTTTATATTGGTTTTAGTTATAGTCAGATACTGCAGAGATTTGCCACTAGCCTGCTGAATGAGTCTGGCAGCATTTTACTCAAGTCTTTGCATGCAGAAAGGGATAATGCATTTATCTTCCTAGGACACAAAGGATAGCCAAGATATTAAACCCCTTGTTTAGGATTTGAATGACATTAAACCCCAAACCTAAGAAAACCCCTTTCTGTGAGACTTCCTGCAGGACAGCTATTACAGGTGAGAGTCAGCTTGCATATTAAGACAGCTGAAATTAGAGGTGAGATTCAGCCAAAGCTTCAGACATCTGAAGTGAAGGTATAGGCCTTGCATAGAGTAATTTCTTCACATGGAATCAACCACAAGTGGAAACCTTTTGAAAAGCCTCTGATCAGATCTTTCTCCTGAGACAGCCACAGCATTCCTGAAGGTGGAAAAGAAGACATTATGTTGGTTAACAGCATTAAAGGCAACAAGGTGAGTAGTCTTTTTGGACTTCATTCACTTATGTGGTGCTACTCAAACACGAAGATTAGGTTACGTAATCTATGATTACATGCCTGTCCAGTCGAAGTGAGTGTTCTAGGCTCCCCCTAGGGTCAGTGGAGAGAGGCAGGCATTTCCTGAAGGTGACTGGATGAGGCACCGTTCTTTGGAGAAACCTTTGAGGTAGTCTGCATCATCTGCAGAGAGGAAAAACTTCTGTTTTAGACAACCAATGTTCAGTTCAATTAATCCCATGTGTCACTTCCCATGAAGTCTGTTTTTGTTTTATAAACCACTTTTGATTTGCTCTAATTTTTAGCCCAGTTTCTTAAAGCTATGACTATGTATTGGAAAACCCTATTAAAAACGAACAAATAAGCAAAGACCAACTATTCTGTAATATTTGTGTTGAACATCCCAGCATAATGCCTATTTTGTCCTTTGTTACCCAGTGAGTTAACCTGTGGACATCATCCATCCTCCCCAAAGCTGAGGCTGTTACGTGATAGTGGTCAATGAGGCCTACATCTTCTCAAAACTCATCAGAGAGGGTTTCTAGTTCTGGAGACTCTGGGTAGATTATAAATACCTAGCATGGCATTCTCTATAGCCTACCCGAGAGAAATACCTGTGTTCATGTCATAAATGTGACTCGTTATTTAAAGAGGAATCTCACTGGCTGGATTGACTAAGGCACGCATGCTATCCTGATGCCACTCTTAACCTACTCTTTATATAAATAAGTTTATCTCTTGTTGCTGTATTATTTTAGAGGCATCTCCATGACTTCTAATTTTCTAGGGATGGGCCACTTTGTGACGAGGGCACTGGTCTGCATTCAGAAAATGCTCTAGTTTCATTGCTGAATGTCATATTTGGATTGACTACTTGGGTACCGAAAGTAGTTGTGCCCACCATTTCTTTCCCCTTGCATGAATAAAGTATAGGTCCAACAGGCTGGGTAATATAGACTGGCCAGATCATTGATTCCTTGACCTTAGATTTCACAATATTTGTAACACATCTGTTTTACAGGGCTTTACTGACTTCTCTTGTAGTAGGCAGGATTTAAATCACTTAAATTTAATATTTTCTGACTGTCATCTAGTCTTAAGCAGTTTTGTAGGTATTGTACCTGGGATTTGTTCGCCACAGAGACCTACCCTACTCTGTGCTGAACTGCTCTCTAGAGAAGCTGATCTCTCATCGTGGACTCTAGAGGGAGCCTGGATGACTGCTTTAGAGTAGATATGCAATTTCTAGATAGCTAAAATGAAGTGATACAAATCCTGGCATGTCTGTTTTCTATCTAGCAGTTGGTATTGCATTTCCCTATCTCAGCAAAATGCAGCATTCAGTCTTGGAAGCTGTGTACTTCTAATTGTATTTTATTTACTCTGGTGAGATGCTGTTATAAAACAGTAGGTACCGTAAGTGACATCCAACGATAATGGGGACCTTTATACGCTGATGAAAGACTTCTATGGCCATTACTTTGCTGATGAATACAAGAAATTACAGAAGCCATGGTAAATATTGCTGTTTTGCAGTAGTAAGGGAAAATTCCTTAGATCATTAATGAATGCAAGAAAAAATATGTATTAATCATATTTAGTTCTATCCTTCCACATCAGAATAATCAAGGTGATTATGGTTATTTTATAATATTATACTTAATTTTTACCGCAGATCCGTTTTGCCCCTGTCCTTGTCTGTCTGTCAGGCCTCTCAGTCGCTGTGTCAGTAACTTTTGAACCTGTTGCTCAATTTTAAATAAATTTAACAGAAGGATGAAAGTTCTGTAAATACCACGTTACTGCAAACTTTGCTGAAATATGTTGCTCTGTGGAGAGGAAAAATTCCAGAAAAGAACCACCCCCAGGGAGATGTTGCAGAGTGAAATCCTCACCAAAGAGACAGTGAGGATAGAACTACGGGAAAAAAAAGGTTGTAGGTTTTGATGTCCACAGAACAGCTTTTCCTTTCATTCTCATTTGTTTAAAGAATAAACTGTTTCTCTACATCTGTCGCAAAGTTGAATAAGATTCATTTATTATGTAGGATGAGTAAACTGCAATTATGTCATTGCATTATGGTCTGCTGAGTGTGAGCGGACAAATCCTAGTTTAGAAACATGTTATTAAAAAAAACAAGCAAACAAACAAAAATAGAGAACCCCCAAATCCCAGTCCTATAGTAAAATTTGCTTATACACATTTTTGTATTTTTTGTTAGTGGTCACTTTCGCAATGTTGATTTCTGCAACACAAGGTCACCCAGAGGGAAGTTATGAGTAAATGTTACTGAAAGACTCTTGAGAAAAATTAAATGTAGAAGGATTCCCTGACAAGGATATTGTTATAAGAGGGAAGAGAAGGAATGGGAAGGAAAGGGAAAGGAAAAAGAATGAGGTAAAAGGGGAAGAAACAGTTTTCTGAACTATATCTGTATTTCTTGACACTGATCTCTATTTACTTATTTATTTATTATTTTGCTTTCTTGAAGCTTACAAAGGAACTAACAACAGTAGGGGCTGGGAAGTGTATGATATGACCAGGTTTGCTGTTGACACCCTGCTAGTAAATTCATTCAGGCTAAAGAAAGCTCTAACAAAGCTGAGGACTATGTTACAACAGCACCTCACCGAGAACAATGTGTTTTTTCTCAACACTGCAGTTATAGTAAGATTTATGGCTCCTACTCCAAGAGTTTAGCTTCTTAGCAAATGAGTCAGGCAAAAAAATGTCTTGCTCACAGATGGTGAGCAGAGTCATGGAGAAATTAAGTGACTTGATGGGGGTCATAAAAACAGACTGTTATAGAGCTGGGAAGTGATCCCAAACCTTTTAAATCCTTGCTTGATGACTTACAATAAGGTTGTCAATGAATTTTAGCTCTATGCAAGTAGGGTGCCGAGTTTAAGTCAGTTATCTGGATTCCTTTTTTAATTTTTTTTTTTTTCCCCTACATCAAAGAATGAACAGCTCCAGATGTTTTGTTTCACCCAGCAGTGTTGTCTGCCTTCAGGTGAGACTATCAAGCTTGGACTGATGCTCCTTTGGCTCCTATTTGCAGATTCATTCTAAAAAGATTTGAGCAGTATGCCACACACAAAAAGGAAGCCATGTTTGCCTTAGAATGACTTCTTGCCATGGTACAATCTCTGTTTACATGTCAGTCACTATATAAGCACTGTTGGACAACCAAATTACTCATCCAAGCACCGTGGACAGCCTATTGCAACTGAATTATTGAGGCCTCAATAGACATAGTCTCAATTAATTTAAAATCCCTATATGCTAAATATTCATAGAATCATTTAAGTTGGAAAAAACCCAAAAGGTCATCAAGTTGAACCGTCACATAACAAGACAAATTCCACCACTAAACCACATCCACACATCTCTTGGATACCTTCAGGAATGGCAGCTCTACAGCATTGCTGGGCAGCCTGTTCCAATGTCAAACCACTCTTGCCATGAAGAAATGCTTTCTGCAATAGTTTTTGAAGTCAGTATTGGTTGCCTCTGTTGCCAGCAGAGATGAACTCACAATCACACTTCCCTCTAAGCCCTTCTGTTCCAACTTTTTGGCCCAGCCATCGCACTTGTGCAGATTGTGTTGAACCAGGATGGAAAACTGATACAGAATAAAAATAAATACATTTTCTTGGGCTTATTTTAACCCAAGAGGTTTCTTGAAGGCATATGTTGATCTCAGAAATGCGGGTGGCATTACCTGCCACATACAAGTGGCATGGTGTAGAGGGTCAGGAATGAGCAGGTAGGTGAGCAGAAGGAGGGTGAGACCACCTCTTTGGCAGTAGTTTAATTTATGCTTCAACAGAATGGGAAGCCCAAGAAATACATCTTTGCTGGTAGAATCTAAGTGTTTTTCAGCCTACAGAGAAAGTTAGTGCTTGTGTTGCACACACATGTGCAAGTATTTGTGTAATGTTCAGTGGAAAATTTCAACCAAAGAGCAAACAAAGAATCTGCGTTACACTGAAGAACAGATTTTTGTGTATGTACCTGGACATCTCATCCTCCTCACCATGAACATCAAGTCACCAGGCAAAGAAAACCTTCCATTCCATGCCCTTTGAAAAGCCAGAGCAGTGGGAGCTGCAGGACTTGGTAGTACTTGTATGAAGTCAGAATTATTTTCTAATTCGTTTATTTATATGCTAATTGTTTGAGGGCAGGGAGAATGCACAGGAGTCACCACTGCATGATTGGAAGGTAAATACAAGGTAATCAAGGTTGAGGGAGAGGTTAACTTGGGGATTATTTTTTTCTCTGCTAAATGACTTTCTTTATAATTTTTATAGGCTTTAGGCAACTGATTTATCTAACTTCATCCGCAGACAAGGTGAGCATCTAGTCGTGCAAGTTTCTTCAACAGCTACTGGATATATTACACTGCATTTCATCCCCATCATCTTATACACTTACTTTAATATGGGGAAATTTGCCCTCTGAAAGTGCTGACATCCTTCTTCATTGCTGGAGGTTGTAATTCTATTGGAACATATTTAACTTTTTGATGACTGCTGGTAAGGAAAAGCACCGAGTCTAACAGGAATTGAGTTATTTTTCATCATACCGGCCTGTATGGTGCTGTGTGTTAGATTTGTGACCAAAATAATGCTGATAACACACTAAAATAGCTAAAATATTGCTAGTGTTTGCACATCATCAAAGCCTTGTCTGTTCTGAACTCTGACCCCTGCCAGTAAATAGGTTGGGAGCATGCAAGAAGATGGGAGGGGACACAACTAGGCAGATGACCCAAACTAACCAAAAAGTTATTCCATGGAATCTTGCTCAGCAACAAAACAGAGAGGAGAGTTAGGGAGGTTAGCTATCATTTTGCTTGGGAAATGGCTGGCCATCAGTCTACCTATGGGAGGTAATGAGTTACAACCTTTGCATCACTTGTTTTATTTTTTTTTTCTTTCTCTCTTTTTCCACTTGTTCATTTATTTAAAA